AAAGCTGGCCTCGCCTAGGGCGCAGAAGCACCTCGGGCCAGCCCTGTGGGCAGACACAAGCCTGCTGAAGGAAACCCCATATACTGACTTACTGTAAGCTGTTGACCACTCACTGTGGGCTTCAGTAAAAGGATCAGGTAGTAGGTGATGTGAAAAACCACTGCCTGAGCCCTGGGAAAGCTGCTGCCAATCTGAGTAGACAACATTGACTTTAAGACCGGTGGTCTCATTCAGTATAGCAGCTTCAAGTGTTGTCTGATTTTATGAAATCAGTGATCCCCTGATGCAAGTGGCAGCCTATTAAAACATAGTCATCTGGTGGCAATGGCAGTAGTTGTGGGAAGTTTGGCCACACACTTCCTCTCAGTCGTCTATTCTGCAACTCTTGGAAGATACTGCATCTTCTTCCTTCCCAACTAAGCTGCATGGCTTACCTTCTCCTACATCTAGTTTCAGGAAAAAGTTATGAAGCTGTTACTCCACTGGTACAAAGCACAAGTACCCAGGAACCAGAGATGGATTGTGGAAAATCTTCTAGTGCTTGATATTTCAATAGAAAACGTTCCATTTCTAAATATTTATTGTTCCATAAAATTACCAATCAATCAGTCACACTGGCAGTACAACATTAGGCAAGTCTGTAAGTTTCAAAGTTGTAATTAATCTTTTTCAGGTGGTTATTCCTAAAACAGCACCAGTATGTTTTACTCATTTGTAAACACATAATATCTAAATCAATTATGAATTCATCTGATTGGCTATGCAGGTCAAATAAAAATCAAAGCTACAGCTCTTATTTTATATGTCTCATATGGTTGAAGAGAGTTGTTAGAAATTCCTGCGTCCCCTTTTGTTCTGTGTAGATTCAGATCTTGATGACAGGGCCCTTGAAAGTGAGACACACCATTTGGGCTCTTGATCCTTGCTTATCCTGGGTTTTAAAATCATGCTAGGAAAAGGTATTGGAGGCTTTGACTAAGATTGTTGATTTCTCACTGTTGGAGGGTAACTTTCCCAAGGCTTTTGAAGGAAGTAGTTATTAGACTTTTAATTTAAAACCTGAGATGGCCAATTATAGGACACTCTCCATTTTAAGCTTTTCTGGGGAAGGCAATAGAACATGTGGTGGTAGTGCATCTCCAGGGGTTCCTGGATCTGCCCTTGACCTATTTCAATATGGCTTCAGGATGAATTGGTTTTAGTTGCACTGGAGGATGATCTTCATTTTAAAGCTGGACAGGAACAGTCATCCTATTCCAATCAGCACCCTTTGATACTTGATAATTACATCCTTATCCAATGCATAGAATATGGAGTCAGTATCAGGGGAGCAGCTCTTTGGTGGTTAGACTTTTTTTTTTGTCTGATCAGACACTAAATTTCCAACAGAGGATCAGAATCAGTGGTTTGGGATCTGTCCTTTGGAGTGCCATAGGATTCCATTCTGTCACCCATGATCTTCTGTATGAATGAGATGGCCCAAAGCTTTGGGTCTCATCAGTATGCAGGTGACACCCAGCTCTGCTTTTCATTATCTAATTAATACACCCATCTAGCTCTGAAGCAGCGTTCTGAAGCTGTGGTCAATAAACCAAGGCAGAACAAGATGAAACTGAATCCTGAGAAGACCAAGGTAATGCTGGTTGGGAAGACAGAGGCTTTGGAGGGACTGGACCCACTTGTGGCAGATGGAGTCGAGTAGGAATTTGGTGAGCAGGTTAAGTGCTTCGAAGGTTCATGAACCTAAGTTTAACCAGACAATTGTGAGCACATTTGTTTGTGTGTGTGTAGGGGGGAGGAATTGGTTGAACATCAATTCCTGGTGGCAGTACTTGAAAGTAAACTGGATTTGTGTGTGTGGGTTTTTTTTTTTTAAACAACCTTTGTTTGTACAGTAAGTGTTTTGCTTATTCAGTATTCCAATATTGAAAGCTGTCTTAGTGAGCCACAATTTTCCTATAAATGTGAATTTTTAAAGATTTTGTTGCTAATCTGTTTACAATGATAGTAAAGGTAAAGGTTCCCTTGCTCGAAAGCCAGTCGAATCCGACTCTAGGGTTGTGGTGCTCATCTCCATTTCAAAGCTGAAGATGCAGCGCTGTCCGAAGACATTTCCGTGGTCATGTGGCCGGCATGACTAAACACCAAGGCACACGGAACGCTGTTACAATGTTTACAATGATAGCAGTTTGTTAATATTGAGATTTAAAACAAACTAGCTCTAAACTTTGGTTACAATTGGTTGTTTTTGTATTTGCCTTAAGGTACAATCATGAAAAAAGTAGGGATGGTCATGAAAAATAACCAGTACAATCAAGGAGGAGAAGAAGAAGAGATTGGATTTATACCCCGCCCTTCACTACCCAAAGGTGTCCCAGAGTGGCTTACAAACTCCTTTCCCTTCCCCTCCCCACAACAGACACCCTGTGAGGTAGTCGGGGCTCAGAGAGCTCTTGACAGAAACTGCTCTTTTTCAAGAACAGCTCTTATCAGAGCTACGGCTTGCCTAAGGCCATCCAGCTAGGTGCAAGTGGAGGAGTGGGGAATCAAACCCGGTTCTCCCAGATAAGAGTCCGCGCACTTAACCACTACACCAAACTGGCTCTGTGTGTAAGAAAGAGTTTTTAGCATATAGAAAATGATACAGGAGTATCTTGTGGCATTTTGCAGTATTGTAATTTTGTGTTTCTAGGTTGATCTTTGACAGAATTATACATACACCACAGATGAGCAGGCAGCTGGGTAATTAAAAGCCTAGCAGTGGTGCTAGTTTAATCAAACACTAATCTGTTCTGCATGTGCTGATATGGAGATGGGTATACCTGGATCCCATCTAAATGAGTTGGTTTATTACTCTCAAGTGATCATATCTCTGCCCTGCTATTATGATGTATGTGCTGTCTTATAAACACTGATCCCATATGCATCAGTAAACTGCACCTTCATGATGATCTACTTGCATCAAATACAAATGGTGCCACAGGATATGTGCTGTCTCTCTCTTTTGTCAGTTGTTCTTCCAGACAGATGCTGAGGAAATGATTTTGTAATCTTGAGGTATAGTGTAAATATGGAACGTTTTTGCCAGTGAGAAGTGCACTGCAGCAATTGGAGAACATTACCCATCACTGTCAGCAGGGTTCTCTGGATGATCATTACATACATACATACATACATACATGTATAATATGTGTATGTGTGTGTATGTATACACACATATATATATATGTACTAGAAGGAAGGCCCGTTGCAGCTGTAAATGCAACGGCCGCTAGATTGGTCATACGGCTGCGGTCCTCGTCTCTCCCAGCCGCCGCTGGTGGCCCCCGCCCGCAAGGAACCCGGCTCTGGGAGGGGAGGGGGTGTAAGCCACCTCTCCCATGGGCTTGCTCGGCTTGGCCACAGAGAGGGCGAGGAACCCAGCTCTGAGAGGGAAGGGGAGGGGGTTTAAGCCGCCTCTCCTTCCATGGGCCTTGACTTTACCTTGACTTCCAGAAAGCTTTTGATAAAGTTCCTCATCAAAGGCTCCTAAGTAAGCTCAAAAATCATGGGAAGCTGCTGCCAGAGCAACATTTTAAAGAATCTGCACAGTTCATTGAATCTCCAGTGGCCAATCAGAAGCCTCGCTGGGCAAAAGCCCTATCTGACCCCGCCCACTTTCTAAACACACTGGGTGGGTCCCAGGATAGGTGTCAGCAGGCACCACTGTAGCCATGGATGCCACATTGGGGGCGGGGAGGGCTGTTCTATAGGCAAGAAGGTGAATGTGAGCAGCAACATGGCTTCTCAGGAGTCCAAAATTGTGATAGGTCACGTTTCTTTTCTCTTGGTAAGCATGAAAAATGGATCTCAGACTTCTACAGGGATCATAGGAGCTGGGAAAGTGGTTTGCAGGTCAATTTATTCACTTTAGAGCCTGCCCCTCTCACAGAGACTCTAGTAGGATTGCACGGTCTCGATAAATGCAACCAATAGGATTATATCAATGGTGCGACCTCATTTGGAATACTGTGTGCAGTTCTGGTCACCACACCTTAAAAAGGATATTATAGCTTTGGGAAAAGTGCAGAAAAGGGCAACTCGAATGATAAAGGGGTTGGAACACTTTCCCTATGAGGAACGGTTAAGGCGCTTAGGGCTCTTTAGCTTGGAGAAACGACGACTGAGGGGTGACATGATTGAGGTTTATAAGATTATGCATGGGAAAGAGCAGGTAGAGAAAGAGGTACTTTTCTCCCTTTCTCACAATACAAGAACTCGTGGGCACTCCATGAAATTGCTGAGCGGTCGGGTTAGAACGGATAAGAGGAAGTACTTCTTCACCCAAAGACTGATTAACACTTGGAATTCACTGCCACAGGAGGTGGTGGCAGCTACAAGCATGGACGGCTTCAAAAGGGAATTAGATAAGCTTATGGAGCAGAGGTCCATCAGTGGCTATTAGCCAGAAGGTATAGATAGGGGCTCTGGGGCAAGTTATGCTCTGTCTTCTTGGTGCTTGGGGGGGTCAACAGTGGGGGGGGGCTTCTAGTGTCCTGGTCCCACTTGTGGGCCTCCTGATGGCACCTGGTACTTTTGGCCACTGTGTGACAGTATTGGACTGGATGGGCCTTTGGCCTGATCCAACATTGGCGTCTCTTATGTTCTTATGAGAATGAATCTGAACTGTAGGCTTGCTTGTCCTCAACCTAAGGTGTGCACTCATAGAGTTGTTACCTAAAGGCACCCAGAGATTCAATTTTATGAGGATTAATTCTCACACCCATGTGTATCTCAGGTTTCCAGAGTTTCAGAAACCTAATAACTTTGGAACTCTGAAATTTTTTCATGACACATACCTTTTCTGAACTCTGTCCTGAGTAATTGCCATAATATTGGGGAGGCTTTTGCAAGATCTTTAATACCAAGGAAGGTCAGCCAATATATATGATAATATCAGTAGTTGCATTTCTTTGCTCAAAATGGATATCCATCTTAAATAATTTTGTTTTCTTCTGCAGACTGAAGATCTATTATTTGCAAGACACCAGATTAAAGACTTGGATAACTAGAGATGTCCAGCACATACGATGATTCTCTTGGACTAGAAGTTTCTAGTGATAGCTTCTGGGAGGTAATTTGAAATTTATGCATGAAATTCTCCAGATTCCTGCTTGGTTAATAAAATGCACATCTGACAAAATAAGAGCTTTTGCCATACATCGTTTAATTTCTAAGATGCTGCAATGGTTAATTTTAAATCTGTAATATGGAGTGCATTTACATGGATGGAATTTACACATGATATTGGTTAGAATATGTGACATAGTGTCACCCATTAAAATCACCTCTGGCTTGTCCATATTCTATCTTGATGCTATGCTTTTGTTGTAAATATGCTATGCATTGTACCAAATTGGATAAATTATACAGGCAGGGGTTTGGTGTGGAGATATAACTCCCTACTGATCTTGGATTCTCTGAAATAAAAGTGAAGAGTGTGTTTGTGTGTGTGTGAAACCATTTATGGGACTGTTTTGGACAGCATGTTCCTTGGTGTCTCATGTAAGTGCAGTAACATTAGGACTAGGTCACTGTCTTCTGTCCTGCCTTTCTCTTACTTGTCATTTCTTGTAGAAAGTAGTGCCCAAACCAGGACATAATGCATTAATTTGAAAACAAGATCTCCTGGTTTGGGTGTCACCTTTTAAAAATGTAAAAGGAGGAGGAACAAGTGCATGACCTGGGAGCACAGCAAATAGCCTGTGGCTGCTGCATGACTCGGGCTCAAAAAATGGGGAAGTCTGACCAAACACTGTACACAACTGGTAACCTGTAGTGGTTAACAAATTCCTCAGACCTGAGTTTACAGACCTTTGTATATGCATCCAGGAAGTCCACATTTAAATTTCTGACTGGCCATAAAAGTCTTGCTCGCTGGGTTACATACTGTATTGAACTTCCAGGGAATATGCATTTTCATTCAAAAATATTCTGGAGCTGTATGAATAATAGTCATAACAAATAGTCATAAAGTCATAAAACTGCGAGTGGTAAATAGTTAAGATAATTGGCAATAATTGGAGACCAGTAAAGTGGAGATAGAGATCCTGGTAGTTGAAATTTATAGGTTTGGCCACATTAACAAAAATGGATAGGTCTGGGTTGGCTTAGGCAGAGTCAAGCAGTTGGTTGATCTTTTGGGAAGGGTCAGCTGTGAGTGGCCTAGTATGAGTGACTTAAATAGCTGGATCTGGGCTATGGTCTTGGTATCCTTGGCATTAGAGTATTTTTAATCATCAGTCTTCTGTAGGCCATGATTAAGATTCCTTCTGTTTTCTGTCACTTGTACCCTCTTAGCTTCAGTTGTAATTTCTGTCTCTTTCCTTGGTTCCCCAAACTTATTTAAGATTATTTCCTCAAAAACTTAGTGATAAAGATGAGGTAGTGGGGAGAGGAACCGTGATCATGTTGTTGTGTTTCCCCTTCCTTGGTATCTTAATAGATACCAGTTCTTATTAAACTCTCCTTCTCCCATCCTAAAATAAAAGAAATCAGTGTATTATAACCTTCAGCTAGGCATTGCTATCATCATTGCTACCATATTTTTACCAATATAATACATAACAAAAAAGGATCAGAAATTGCCACCATAAAAGCAAAAGTCAACAGACACACGTTAAAAAGTCCCAGTGAAAAAGCACTATCTAAAAATCCAATAAATAATATTAAATATAATCTAAACAGCTTTTCAGCAGAGTAATTAAAGTGCACATGCCCATAAAGATTTATGTGACCAGTTATCTATAAAGTGCCTGTGCTTTGAGGGCACAATATATAAACCAATCTAAGATACCTATCTTTCAACCAAATGGCACAGTCAAAACAATAGTTATACCACAACCACTATATGACCGATCAAGAGATAGAAAATGATGGTGCTTCGAAATAACATGCCAAGAAATATAAAATAATAATTCTTCAGGTAGTTGACACACCAAGAACTTTGGAAAGTTTCCCTTTTCTTCAAGCAGGTCATTCAACGAGTACAAGGAATAGCCCATATATAAATGAATGTAGTACTTATTCTCCCTAAAAGGGAGAATGAATTATATTCAGTCTTTTAAAAAATATTCTGTTAATATAAAGGTAATAAAGAATAGCATTCATTTGTGCATTTTTCCTTGTTATCTAAAGTATCCTTGTTATCTAAGTTATCTACGCTCAGTCTTGGAGTAGTAGAAATCAGCACAAAGTCCAAAGTACAGTTCTTGTCAGAGGGCCTTGCAAGAGGGTGATACCCTTTTTGTTGTGCTTGTGACATGGCTGTAGGCTGCTGTCTGGGGTTAAAAAGGCTCTCTCCTGGAACACGATAGCCCCTTAAGTTGTATGGCTGTTGAAGCACTTCCTGTCTGCCAGTCTAACTTCCCCTCCCGTAGGGATAGGGAGGGAGGAAGAAAGAGAGCAAATTTTAGCTCCATGGAAGCAAGGGAAAGCCTTCTTGCCAGTGTTCCTGCTTCCTCCTTGTCAGGTGTCATTGGGTACTGATGACTACCAAAACCACAGGTGATCTCTACCAGGGGCTTTACGTACAAATTGAAAAGCATGGGCAATAAAACAAACCTGTGGAACCCTATAGGACAAATCCCACTTTGTTAACAGATCATCATCAATACCCACCCTTTTGCTTCCAATCAGTGAGGAACTAATCCTATGTGCACCCTTTAATACCAACATCTGTTTCTCAGGTCATCAATAGAATAACATACTCTTGAAGCCTTCTGATAAATCCATCAGCAGCTACAAAGGTACATAGCCCTTATAATCAAAAGGAGGTCTGCTAAAGCCACCAATGACTAATCCTATATATATAACTGCCCTACATATTGGCACTTTCCGGCTCTCCCATGGGCTGTGCTGTGCGCTCCATCAGCCATTGGCCAGTCAACCGCCTCTCGAGTACTCGTGTGCCATTGGCTGGGTGCTGGATCCAATCCTCTCCCCCACCCACTGCCAGCCTGGACACTTTCCCCTGACAGAATAAACTGCCCAAAACAGCTGTCTCTCCTGACAAAGATGCTTCTACTTCTGCTTGGCTCCTCTGCTACAGGCTGGCTACTGAGGTGGGCCACCAGTTGTCAAACCATTATCTTCTCCTCCTGCTGTGGGGCTAATTTTTCCCGCAGTGGCGGATAGATCCTGGATATCAATCCTTTTTTGGAATTGTTGTTATCCAAAAGTAGTTTTTCATAGTCTGTGAGGGTCCTCATTATGGACTGTTTAATTATAGGCATATCGCAAAGATGTTTTAGCTGAAAAAATTCAAACCATGGTAATTGGTGGTTGGCTAGATTTTCTAGTTCAGTTTCATTTTTAATTTGTCCTTTCTTTAATATACAACAAAATCTGGTTAAATTGTTTTCCCTCCAAATAGGGAAGGCTCACTCGTATCAGAAGAAATGGCAAAAAAATATTAAATTTGCTAAAAAGGACTATTTTGAAAATGCAAACAAACCAGGAAAATGGTTGGCTTATAAGTTAAGAAAAGAGAAAGAGAAAAGGATGATCCACTCATTGTATGATAAAAAGAGAAAAGAAGAATTTTCTAGGAATGGACTAAGGGAACTAATTCAAGACTTCTACACGCAATTATATAAAAGAGTGGAAATATCTAAAGAAACTCAGAAACAATACTTAGATGAGCCAGGACCTACCTACAATTTTGGAAGAAAACAGAAAAATGTTGAATGATCCCATAACAATGATGGAAATTACAGAGGCTATTAAGAAACAAAATACAAATAAAGCACCCAGACCAGATGGATTACCAGCTGAATATTACAAAATATTTGAAGATGTATTACTGATACCATATAAAAATGTAATTTCTTCTCTAATAGAAAAAACAGAAATACCAGAACCTTAGACTGAAGCAACTATAACATTGATCCATAAAGAGGACACAGATCCTGAAGAGATAAAAAACTACAGACCTATCTCCTTGCTGAATTGTGATTACAAAATATTTGCAAGTATCTTGGCTGCAAGGTTGAAAAAAATTCTAACAGGCTTTATACATCAGGACCAGGCAGGTTTCTTACCTAAAAGACAGTTGAAGGATAATGTGAGAATAGTTTTAAATATATTAGAATATTATGAAGCACATCCAGAGAAACAGATGGCTTTAATATTCTTGGATGCTGAAAAAGCATTTGACAATGTCAACTGGCAACATTATCCAACAGATGAAAATAATGAAGTTTGGGACTAATTTTATAAGGGCTAGTGAAGCTATATTTACAAAGCAGAAAGCGAAAATAGTAGTAAATAATGACTTGACAGATAATATATGGATTGAAAAAGGGACAAGACAAGGCTGTCCAATTTCTCCGCAGTGGTTCATATTAACATTGGAAGTGCTGACAAGAACTATTAGGGAAGACTCTCTTATTAAAGGGACACCAATAAGAGGAAATAAATATAAATTACAAGCCTTTGCTGATGATTTGGTATTTATCTTAGAACTTCCAATGGATTCAGTACAACAGCTAATGGATCTGATTAATGAATATGGGAAAATGGCGGGAATGAAAATAAATTATCAGAAGACAAAAATGATCACATAAAACATGACATTGAAACAAAGATGTGAAATAGCAGAACTAACTGGATTTCAACTGGAAAAGAAAGTCAAATACTTGTGTATTAATATTACAGCGAAATCTACCTCTCTGATGAAAGATAACGATAATAAAGTGTTACAAGACATTAAAAAGATTTAGAAAAATGGACAAAGCTGCAAGTATCACTAATGGGTAGAATAGCAATTTTGAAAATGAATATTTTACCATGCTTGATGTTTTTATTCCAGATCCTGCCGGTATATATTAAACAAAACTTTTTTGACGAATTGAATAAACTGACACAACACTTTATATGGCAAGGGAAAAAACCAAGAATTAAATTGAAAGCCTTGCAGGATGCAAAAGATAATGCTGGATTTGGAGTACCAGACTGGAAGAACTACTATAGAGCACCAAATTTGGTTTGGCTGAGAGAATGGATTTTACTCAAAGATCATAGGCTGCTGACTCTAGAAGGACATGACTTAAAACTGGGATGGCACACGTTCCTATGGTATGGGAAAGCTTCTGGACACAAATACTTCAAAAATCATATGATAAGAAGATCATTATTGACAACCTGGGAAAAGATACATCCAGTGATATATACTAAAATTCCAAGATGGGTATCTCCAGTGGAAGCTTTTTCTCAACCAGTATTGACTTCAAAACAAGCAGTTATCAGATACACAGAATTGCTAGATGATGGAAATAATTTAAAGTCTCAGGAAGAATGAAAGAAAAGGGGAATAAATTTAGATTGATGGACTAGAGTACAAGTGGAATCTAGATATAGTAAGGATAAGCAGATAGATGGATTTTATTTAGAACAAGGTGCATTTGAAAAAATATTATGTACAATATATTATGTATAAGAGAGAAACATTAAGAAAATATATTGTATTGAAAATGCAGGGTGAGATAGTTAAAGAATGTATGATTACATGGATGCAAAATCTAGGTTATAACATAGACTTATCACACTGGAGTAAAATATGGAATGTGAATAACAAGTTGACTAAATCTGTTTCATTTAATGAAAATTTGTATAAAATGTTCTATAGATGGCACCTAACCCCAGATAGGTTAGCTAAAATGTGTAAAAACTTGAGTAACAGATGCTGGAAATGTAATATTTATGTTGGATCATACCATCATATGTGGTGGACATGTAAAAAGGATCATAAATACTAGATTGGAGTACATACTCTTTTACAATCAGTGTTGAATATTACAATAGCTTTTCAACCAGAAATATTTCTGTTAAACTTTTTACCAGATGACTTCGATAAGAACCATAGATACTTTATTTTACATGTTATAACAGCAGCTAGAATCTTATTTGCAACAATGTGGAGGATATTGAAAATCCCAATGCTTTAATGAGTTGATAACGAAGATTATGGAATGTGCGGAAATAGACAAATTGACAAATATACTAAAAGGAAAAATGGAAGAAGAATTTATGGGACTATGGAGGGTGTATTGAGAAACTAAGACTAAATGAAGAACAATAAGAAAGCTGGTTATAATAGTTGTGAAACTTTTAGGAGAAGATTTGCATGCAGAATGTCAAATTGGTTGTTTATATATATATACTAGGAATAAGGCCCATTGTGGAAATAAATACAATGAGCGCTAGAAAGAGGCTCTGTGGAGAGTGCCAAGACTGTGGGCACTCAGAATCAATTTGCCATGGCAACCTCAGCAGGGTATAAGGACACAAAGTCCACCATTTTCTCCAGGGGAACGGATCAATGCCATCTGGAGAGCAGTTGTAATTCTGAGTGATCTCCAGCCCCCACCTGGAGATTGGCAACAGTGGTTCCCCATTACGGAATGGCTGGTTTGGAGGGCAGAGTCTATTGCATTGTACCTATCTGAGGCCCCACTCCTCCTCAAACCTCACCCTCTCCAGGCTCCATCTCTCAAATCTCCAGGATTTTCCCATCTGGAGTTGGCAACCCTATCTACTTCCCAGCCAAGTATCAACCTACATTTCCCCCTCATTGATCAGCTTCCCATCTCCCCCCCACCAGCAGCTCCCACCGTGCCCTGAAGCCCTGACTGCCACATATCTGTGGCAGTAATGGGGTGATTGCTGGCACCTTTTCCTATCCTTTTTTGCCTTGTGGTATTCTGCTTGTAGGAGCTGCGGTGGCTCAAGTGGTTAAACGCTGAACTGCAGGCTGTGGAAGGTCGGTAGTTCAGCAGTTCGAGACCCGAGTTGCCGCATGATTGAGTGAGCTCCCATCTCTAGTTCCAGCTCCTGCCAACCTAGCAGTTCGAAAGCAAAAAATTGCAAGTAGATAAATAGGTACCACTTTGGTGGGAAGGTAACAGCGTTCTGTGCGCCTTGGTGTTTAGTCATGCCGGCCACATGACCACGGAAACGTCTTCGGACAGTGCTGGCTCTTTGGCTTTGAAACGGAGATGAGCACCGCAACCCTAGAGTTGGACTCAACTGGCTTTCGAGCAAGGGAACCTTTACCTTTACTTTTTCTGTTTGTGGTGTGATCTGTCTTTTTTGTGGTGTGGCATGATTGTGTTATTGGGTTTGTTTCTTTTGAAGGGGATGTGATGTGATGTGAGGACATATTTTACCTCAGAATACAGCAGGTCCCATATGCAAGTGACAGCTCCAACTGTCTCGTGGGGGGGAGGGAGTTTGAGGTGCGGAATGGAGTGAAGTCCAGTCAGCTTCCATATGCAAATGACCTTGAAACACTTGCCCAATCAGAGAAGAGTGGCCTAGGCTACAGTGGGTGGGAGAGAACTCAGGCAACACAGCCAGTGGATAGAGACACCTTGTGATCAATGTTCCCTCTAAGCTGTCAAGTGTTGTGAGCAAAAATTCTACTTTGTGAGCTACTGGCATTAAAGTTGTAAGCAAACAATTTGGCTACTGCATAAGTTAGTTTGCTCTGGAGCCATTCTTCCTGAGCTAAGACGAAAATGTGTGAGCCGGAGGCTAAAAAAATGAGCTAGCTCACAGCAACTCAGCTTAGAGGGAACACTGCTTGTGATTGACACATCACGGAGCCAACAGATTTTGGAGGGCATAGAACGTTGTGGGACCACTACTCAATTATATATAAGGAGATATATATATAACTGTGTATTCTTATTCTTCCCTTCTTTTCCCTTTCCCCCTTTCTATATATAAACTAATAAAACTTTAAAAAAAACACTTCTTGAAGTTCAAGTTAAAATTTTATATGTAAAAGTGTAATGCATCTTACTAAAATTTAAGGTTGTCCACCAATTTAAATGTGTTCTGCTATTTCTTTAAAAAAAACTGACCTTGAAGGTTTCTCTATGCTTATTATTTTTAGGTTGGAAATTACAAGCGGACGGTGAAACGCATTGAAGATGGACATAGACTGTGCAGTGATCTTATGAATTGCATTCATGAGCGTGCAAGAATAGAGAAGGCTTATGCTCAGCAGCTAACAGAATGGGCAAAAAGGTGGAAGCAACTTGTGGAGAAAGGTAAGTGGTGCTTGCATGTATACTGTGATTTTCAGAACAGAAACCCACTTATCTTAGGGTAAGTTAATTGATTGCTTGGAAGCATTAAAGAGGCCCAAGAAGTCCGCTTTGTTTGCCTGTTAAAATATTTGTACCCTGCCTCTCCCTTGTGGGACAGTTCCCTTTGCAATTCCAAGATTAAAAACATGAGGGGGGGGGGCAATGGGGAGGAGAGAATGGTATCTACCTGGTCTTGTGAGTCCCATTTTGTATTCAGTTTGAGTTCGTGTACAGTAATAATAAGACCTTGGTAATGAAAAGTATAATCAAGTACAACTGCCCTCACTGTCATGAAATGGCCTAGAAGTTGATTTGCAGGAAGGCTTAAAACCAAAACTCCAGGAGTTTACCGGATTGAGAAATATAGTGGATATAGTATTATGCCTGTAATTGGTAGATATAATTAAGCCCTGTGGACTGTGTGCTGCTGATCTTAGTCACACTTTTAGAAACTTACATAATGCAACGCTTTAGTTTAGTTGGATTGTCAAACCATGACCCTTCTGCTTGAGAGCTCCCCCCCCACCCACCCAGGTATTGTAATTGATAACAAGAGATGCCTTCCAGAAGCAGGGCAATAAAAAGCCTGGTAGTGAGAGATATGCTGCCCCGACATGGAAATTTCCTTCATGTTGGCTCATGTTGAATTAGTACATTACTAAAGTGGTCTTCAACCTTTCTGGACCTGTGCCCACTGAGTGGCAAGAACATGACAACAGTCATGTGACAGGAAGAGGGGGAGCCTGGTTCATGGCCAGAACTGTGAGGAGAAGACCAGGGACAGGAAACACAAGCCAAGCTCCAAGGTGTGTTCAGTTGTGAGAAATAAGTGAAAAGTCAGATCCATGAAGGAATCTGCCCCATGGCTTTGTCTCAACATCCTGCTGCTGCTTCCTGTGTATACTAGCAACTGGTCTTTCTAAAAAGGAACAAGAAGTGCTATGCGAGCTTGCAGTGCAGCAGGTGAGACTGCACAGCTTACTTGAGGGTCCCACTGCATTGGGTGAAGACTGCTGCCTTACCACAATGAAATCTTCTACATTCATAGAATCATAGTGTTGGAAGGGACATCCGGGGTCATCTAGTCCAACCTACTGCACAATGCAGGGATTTCACAACTACTACCCGCCCACACCCCCAGTGACCCCTGCTCCATGCCCAGAAGGTGGCAAAAATCTCCAGGATACCTGGCCAAACTGGCCTGGAGAAAATTGCTTCTTAATCCCAAAGTGGCAATCAGCATTTCCCTGGGCGTGTAAGAAAGGGCCACAAGAACTAAGCACTGATGCAACCCTCTCCCTCTCATGATCTGCCTGAGTTAACAAAATCAGCATTGCTGTCAGATGGCTATCTAGCCTCTATTTAAAAACCTCCAAAGAATAGGGTTGCCAAGTCCGGTGTCGCGCCGCAGCGGGGGACTCCCAGCTGGCGGCTGGAGCGTGCACACACCACACGCACGTCACCCAAAAGTGACGTGACAACGCTGGGCATGCTGGGGGCGGGGCCACGACCATCCGAGGGAAAACCATAGAGTTTTCCCTCGGATGACCGTGGCCCCGCCCCCACCGTGCCCGGTGTCGTCACGTAACTTCTGGGTGACGCGCACATCGGGGTGGGGCTCCCCCCGGGGCCCAATCCGCCGGCGGCGCGGAATGGGCCTCTGGGGCGGGGGTTTCCTCGCCCCCCAGGGGGACTTGGCAAGCCTACCAAAGAAGGAGAGCCCACCATCTCCCAATGAAGCCTGTTCCGTTGAGGAATCATTCTATCAGGAAGTTCTTCCTAATGTTTAGCCGAAAACTCTTTTGATTTACTTTCAACCCTTTGGTTCTGGTCTGACGTCCTGGGGAACAGAAAACAACTCCACACCATCCTCTATATGACTGCCCTTCAAGTACTTGAAGATGGTTATCGTATCACCTCTCAGTCATCTCCTCTTCAGGCTAAAAGAGGAGATACTATAATCATCTTGTCATACTAAATTACATAACTGTAATTTACAAACTCTGAGCTGCCCACCCCCAGCCACTAAGGCCAAATCTTACTGATATGGGTATTCCCAAGTATTGAGCATTCCCAAGTACTGAGGAATTGGTGAAGTAGAATTAATCTGAATAGTTGTAAATAAATGTGTAATGAAGAATGATTACACTTCTTTGACTCCATACATTCACCACAATGGGCTCTGAACTGGCACACAGCTTCAGTTGGGAACACTCTAGAGCCAGGTTTCTAGGCATGGAATCCTCCTCCCTTTTAAGTCTCCTAGCAGTGTGCATGCACAAGGTGATGAAATTGTGGCTTCCTGTTCCATTCTTTTGTCCACTACAGCAGCGATAAGAAACATCCTCCTCAAAAAAATTCAGTCAGAGAATGTTTTTCCCCCCAAGTTTCACTATTTTAAATATTTATCTTCAGTATTTTTCTCCTCTTCTCAAGCTTGGTCTTCCCTAGCCTGAAGAAATTTGCAAGATTTGTTTTTCTTTTCTGGTTCCATATTATTTTATTTATTTATTTTTATTTACGTTATTTATAGTCACCTTTCTCACTTGGACTCAAGGCAGATTACACAGAATGAGTCAATATAATCGACAGGCTAGGACCTTCAGTGAGCAATGTTATAGGATTAGGGTTGTAGAATCAGTCAGAAATCTAAAAACAGAACTGAAGCAAAGCATAAATATTAACATGACACATTAAATGTTACAAAAATTACATAGTAGGATCCTAAGTTCCAGCAAGCTGAACACCATAGTATAGACCACAGTCTCTAATAATTTATTCAAGTAATTTTGTTTCTTCTTTAATAGTTGACTCATTTGACCTAAGGTCCTAAGTCAGGCCACACTAGATTTATCTCTATATGTTTTGAATTCTACTTTTTTTCTAAAGTTGGAATTAATACATCATAATCTTTTCCTTTAATATAATCTTCAATGAATTTTTTTTTGCCATTGCTAAAGTAATCCTTATATGCTCGTATTTTGATAAAAATACAATCTTCTATCTACAGACAATAAATCCCTCAGGACCGGATCCAGCCATTTTGCTCTATATAGGTCATACCATGGACAATATAAAATCATATGATCCAGTGTTTCACAATCTCCCCATCCACATCTACAATATCTGTTTTGGAATGAGATCTTCAAATAGCAGCCCCCCAGAATTGGTGATGGGGGAGTGCATTCATCCTGGCTAGAAAAGAGGCTCTACTATAGGTGGGAATTGTTAGAAATTTGAAATAGACTGGCAGGGTAGATGGAATTCATATACCAACTGAAAATAATGAACAAACCAAGTGTGCTCTAGAAGATGTGCTTATCCTGTCTTACTCTACTATTCTCTTCTTCTTACTCTACTATTCTCTTGCCCAAGTCCTGTAGGGTTTCCATTTCTATTCCTAATATTCTTATTTTTCATCAATAAGTTGGAACCATCTGCTCCCACAGTGGTCTTGTTTGACTAATAGCCCAAAGCCATCTGTACAAAAGAGAACCTTCATTCTCATATTTATAGCTTGGAGCCAGGCATACGTGCCTCCTTGGATCTCAACACAAGCTCTTCCCTTAGAGCAGTACTGGAAATGCAGTTAGGAACCCCCAGGATCTTTTTCACAAAGTGCGTTAGAGGTTGAGCAGTTTTCTCTTTCACTTCCTCAATCCATATCTCTGTACCATAAATTACTTTATCCTGAAATATAGCCAGTGCAGAAGAGACATAGCATCCCCCTCCTTGTAGCAAATTCTTGATATAGCATTAGCTGTTATTCTGGTCTTCTCTAGTGCTAATGTCCGAAAGTGTTTTCACCTTCAGTTATACCTAAAAAAGATCCCTAGGTATTTAAATTGTTGTATCTTTATTGAGGTTTGCATGATGAGTAAAAATCATTACCTTTGATTTAGCAAAATTAATTTATCATAATTTCCGCTCAAGAAAGTAAAACCACATCATCTGCATACAGCAGAAATGCAAACTCCTTATTGGCTAGTATGAGGGAATAGTAATTCATATCTCCAAAGTAGCTCAGAAGATTATTGGTGTGAAGGATGAATAATGTTGGTGCTAGTATTGAGCCTTGCTGTACTCCTCTATTCTACATAATCCTATTTGATAGGTTACTAAGAAACCCACACCTCTCTCTTGTATAAATACCATTATGAAGTTTTTTCATTAGCCATAAGAGCCTGCGGCTAAGAGGAGGATTTCTGTTAACACCCCACAATCTCTCTTGTGAGACAGAATCAAAGGCATTATGTAAATTTATAAACTCTGCATACAGGTGTTTTCCTCTTGTGGCAATATATTTCTGTGCCAGAAAGCATAGCATTAACTCATGGTATGTAACGCCTAAACTTCTTTGAAATCCTATCTGGTCCTGAGTAATAATTTGTTCATTCACCGCCCATTCCTGTAACCTAATATTCAGATAAGCAGAATAACGTTTGGAGACTACTGATAATAAGCAGACTGGTCTATAATTTGCCAGTTTGTATCTTGAACCCTTTTTATGAATTGGAACAAGAATAAACTCCTTCCATTTCACTGGGAATTCACCAGTTTCAATAATTTTTGTAAATAATGGGGCTAAAATTATAGCCCACTACTTGGGATCTGCTTTCAGCAATTCTATCAGGATCATGTCAGGGCCGGGAGCTTTCCCTGGTTTTCTCCAAGTACCTTTGTGAATCATTTAGTGCAGTGCAACTGTATTGCCTCCACAGAAAAGCCCTCTTGAATAATTCAGTTTTGCATAGTTTATGGAAAGCTAGGAAAGTGGGAACCTTCTTGACCTCCTCAGGCAGGCCATTCCACAGGGTGGAGGGCCACAACAAAGAAGGCACATGTATGGGCAGTTGTTGGTTTTGCTTATTTGCAGGTTTGCACCTGCAGAAGACCTTCGTCGGATGAGCAAAGCTGTTGTGGTGGTGCATAGGAGGAGAGGTGGTCTCACAGATATGAGA